GCAGGAACGAAACGAAGAGAATCAGACTCCGTTGTCACGGAAGCAGTTTATCAGCATGCTCAAGCTTTGCCTGTCCTCCTCTCCCCCGGCAGGTTTGCGGTAGGCTTAGCCCAGCCACCGGCAGCCTGCGCGTGCTTTCGGCCCCTCCGGAGCGAGGATTTGCTGCAGTGCTAACTTGCATTTCAGAGGCTGATAAGTTTGTTTAAGCAATGATGTTTGGCATAACACTCATTCCTGAGGGAGGACACTTCTGACAAACCCACTTCAGGCCTGACACAGTTCAGTGGTGGTTTTTCCCTGCTGACTTGTAAAGGCTTACTGCTGACTGCTAGTGTTAAGGTGGCTGTCGTTGGAAAAACACCCCGGAACTCTGTTACTTCCTGCCCCAGCCCAGCTGATCAAACTGGTAAGATGGGGATTGCAGGAGGGGTTATATTGACTGCAGTACTTATGGTTGGCTTCTATTAATTCCAGTTTTTGTAGGCACCAGCCTGTGTTCAGCACTACCTATCGTGAGAATTTTTCATCTGTGTGGGCCATATTTCCATTTCAAACTGTACTGTACTACTTCAAGAGCAGGAAATGATCTTCATTTGATTTGTCACCAAAAAACCCCCACCAACCTTGCTTTTATGGGGAAGTTGATCTAAGGGCAAGATCTGAGATGGAGCTGAGCAGTGACAGCCACGTACTGCTGACGTCGCTCTCACACCTAAGCGTGGTCTGCGGCACTACCCAACAGCATGCCTTTCGGGTTTCCCTTCCCTAGCCTCCTTTAGCAGGCTGGAAGCTGGGAATTGTGACTTAGTCCTGGTTCTTCCATTGATTTAAAGATCTCTCTACTTGCAGCTGGGATGCTGAACGGTCCCGGCGTCTCTGGCCTTTTCAGTAGATGTTGGAGAGTCGTCTTGTTGCTTGCGTCGCCGTAATGCTGCGGCAGCTCTAATTTTGGCCTGAGCAAAGAGCTTCAAGGGTTAAGCCGCTAGTTGTCTGCGGAGTGGAGAGAAATGCTTTTTCAAACATACTAAAATGTTTTTATTATGTATGAAAACCAGGCACTATATCCATACATAGACTTAGGGGAAGATTTTGCTCTTAAGTTTCCAGCTGCACTAAACCTCTGCTATCGCTGACATTTTTGTAACACAGCTCTGGATTTATTCCAAAATCACTATCAGAAGAGGCTGAACTTTGATCCCACTGTACTTATTTTGCAGAGAGCAACCAATTTCCCTTGCCAAAACAAAGACGTGCGTGCTGGAGTTCCTCGGAAAATTACTTCCTTTTCCTGCTTTTTTACGCACTAAAGTACAATTTGCCCAAATTGCTGGTGAAGAGGAAGGTAGGCCGTGATTAGGGACACCCCCTGGCCATTGTAGAAGTGAAAAATGGTACAGTGTTTGAGAAATTAAAGGTCTAGTGTCACTAGAATGCTGGGTATAGTACTTAAGGTGGAGGGGTTAGTGTTCAGTCTGCTTAATCATTACTGAATGACAGTATGGAAGGTAAGCATTTTGGGCCAGAATTCTTCACATCAAAATCCCTGGTGGTTTTTTTTGTTTGTTTGTTTGTTTGGTGTTGTGGGTTGGTTTTTTTTGTTTTGTTTTGGTTTTTTTTTTTGTTTGTTTTTGTTTTGTTTTGGGTTTTTTTTTTGGGTACCCTGACCTTTCTCTGGTTTCTTACTGGATAAAATGCCAAAGGGCTTGTCAGGGACTGGGTGTGAAGGCTGAAAACCTGGAGTTCCCCCCGGTGGTTGAGTGCTCTTGGAAAGCCCAATATGGAATCATAGAATGGTTTGGGTTGGAAGGGACCTTAAAGACCATCTAGTTCCAACCCCCCTGCCATGGGCAGGGACACCTTGCACTAGACCAGGTTGCTCAAAGCCACATCCAGCCTGGCCTTTTTATATACCTTTTTAAAGGAGTGATACGTTTATATGAAGATGAGCAGGATGAAAACTCTATAAAATGTTCATCTAAAATAGACTTCTGACCTTCTATGAGACACTCTTTACAGCTTTTGGTGTATCACTGCCACGTAACCACAGAATTAAACACTGCTTTTTTCAGGTGGACTTTCTGGTTAGAAAAGTGTTATGTAGCAGGAGGCATCTTTGTAATGAAGGTCTACTAGGTTAGAGTGAGGAAACTGGCTTTTCTCAAAATAGATTAAATTTTAAAATGTTAATATTTAACTACTTTGGTAGTGGTAGCTACTGGTTTTGAGAAGAAAATGGTATTCCATCCATGGCACTAAATGGGTGTGTGTATGAGAGCATCACGAGGGAAATGGAAATCTCCCATATTTTTGATTTTTTTTAAACCACTCCAATTTTATGAGTTGCTTAATAGCTGTAACTATTGAAGATAATGCCACCTCAGAGAATTATTAAAGGTTGTTTTGCAGTGAATGTGTAGGAAAGCTTCACAGGTGGGGTTATGAGGGGCTATTTCTCAGTAGAAATGTGCACTCTATGCGTATCTCATCATATTGTCTTCAACGCTTTCCCCTCTGGACATGGAAGCTTTTATTTGACTCATGGGATTCATCCTTAAAACAATATAAGATAAAGAAGGGAGAAAATCTTGATTAAAACTGAGGTTGCACATTTTTTTTTTCCAGAAATAGAGGACATTGTTCAAATGGCTTGAGGAAAATAGTATTTTGAGTGGTGCCCTGAATCCAGAAGGTAGCCTTTGCAAAAGGCTGTACTTAAGTATCTGGTGATAGATGTGTGTGTGTGTGTATACACAAATATTTGCATTGCCACAACTGTCTTGGTACACAACAACAGTGTTTGGCTGGGCTAGAAGGCTGCCAGTAAACCTCTCGGAGCTGCTTGGCATGAGAATAACGGGCTGTTGGCAAAAGCCAGCCCGTCTTGTTCATTGGCACTGAACCGCAGGCTCTGCCTGCGTTAGTCACCTTTTCTTACTGCACCCAAATTCAGAGATTCATTACCCCCCCAGCACTGTGTTCAGTGTCTCTGCAAGGTTTCTATGTAGTGATTGAAGTCTGGCTGATTCGACTTCAGAGCCAAAGTCTTCGTTTTCTTAACGCTAATCATAGGGAATTTATGACATGGGTTGTGTTGTCAGTGTAAAAACCTGATTTGTAGTAGGTACGTCTCAGTTCTGAGGTTATTTTTTTTAATAGGATACCGTGGATACTTACTATATGGATGCTTATTATGAAGAATACTGGGTGGGATCATCCACAAATTGCTCTGAAAGGGGAAAAAACCTTATGCCAAATGCAGACTGATTGGAAAAAGATGTAGTTTTTGAGTGTTTTCAATGCGATTTCTAAACTTAACCTCAGCTGTCCCCTGCCTTCCCCTGAATCAGGTCTCTCCCGGATTTTTTTTTCAGTCGTTTAAGGAACACTGTTCCCTTTGGCTCATAGGCATTTGATCTGGGGAAGCCATTAATTTTCTAAAAGCCTTTTGGGAAACCATCTTGACTCGAGCTGAATGTTCCCAGAAGTAGTTGGCATGTTCTGGACGTCATGAGTTCTGCTGCGTTTTTTCTTTCGCTCAGTCCTGTTCACACTTAGTTCCATTTTAGACGGAGATACCTATAAAAAGCTTCTGTTGTGAAGTGCCTTTTTTCTTTTTTCTTTTTTTTTCCCCCTCAGTAGCAAAGTGAATAATGACAAAACACTTGATATCAAAATTCTGCTCATGGGATATTGGCATTTTGTTTGGTTTCAGAGCAGGAATAAGTTGATAGGATGGTTCCCATCAAGGAAAAAAAAATCTGCCCAAGTTACATGTGGTTGTTGCTCTGTAACTTTCTTTTAAGCATTTAAACTAACTGTATCCATGATCTTTTTCTGTACTCCTAAATGCTATCAATTTGCTGTTTCTAAACTAGTTTTAGTGCAGGATCTCTCTTCTGAATTAGTAAATTCCAGTGAAGTGCTGAAACCATAAAGGAGCTGTTTATATAGACTTTGAACGGGTCCCTGATATTTGACTTGGGGGTCAGTTTTTGTAGTCTCAGCCTCACTTGGATCTTAGTTGGATCTTCGGAGCGAGCTGACTGCTTTTTGAGTGGATAGAAATTGTTAATGAGAAGTCTTTTACAGGTTTAAGAATTCCCTTTCTTATATCTCAACTGCCTTCTCTTGTCCTTCATTGATTGTATTAATGATTCCTTCTAAATCTTTGTTTTACAGATTGAGGAAAGGCCTGAAAAAGACTTTGAGAAGGTAAGAAGGATCTAATGAATTATTGTGACAACAGTGCTTTCTTCACATTCATTTTGGTTGGTAGAACTCAACCATGAGTGTACAGAAATCTTTAAAATTCATTGCGGGGCAAACGTGAATTGCTGGAGCCTTCTGCTGGTACATTTTTGAAGACAAACTTTTCAATCTCTGGTCACGGAGATGTTGAGTAGTCGACCTTCAGAAGCAGTTGGCTGAAATGGCTTTAAACTAAGCCATGTGAATACTGTGGTGGTTTATTAGATTTTAATTGTGGTGTTATGTAAAAGCAAATAATGCAAAGAAAAAGGGGAGGATACTACATTGGTGAGAATCACTTTGTTGCAGAACACTCTGTACACTAGAACAGTTAATGAATTTGGCCACGGCTTCAGGGCAGATCAGTATCCGTAAAAGGAGAGGAGCTTGAGAAGTAGTCAAAAATATCCACGAAGTGTAATAATGCAAGTTTTGAAAATATCTGGCAAGGTGCTTGTGGTGGGTTGACCTTGGCTGGATGTGGCTGGGTGTCCACCAAAGCTCCATCCGTCCCCTCCTCATCTGGGCAGGGGAGAGGAGACACAAGGAAAGGCTCGTGGGTCGAGACACGGGCAGGGAGGGATCGCTCACCAGTTACAGTCATGGGGAAAACAGACTCGACTTGGGGAAAATTAGTTTATTACCAATTGAATCAGAGTAGGGTAATGAAATACAACCAAAATCATAAAACCCCTTCCCCCCCATACAGTGATACTGACCCCTAAAGACTTTGTCTAATTAAGAATTGATGGTTAGAAGCCAAGTCATACAAACTCCTATTACAGTAGTGTTTAAATACGTCTGGTCTGCCTTTTCTCGTTAGTTTCCTTTGTTAAATATTGATCTTTGGGTTTTTTCTTCTTAGAAAGTTACATTTGAATCAAATCTGCATAATTTAAAAGTGCCAGGATGGTGTAACCTGTATTAAAAATTTACAAACCCAACAAACTCTAAACCCACGATGTATAAAAACCATTTTCAACTGTGTGTGATTGCAGGGAGCACGTACTGTCTCAAGTTTATCGGCAGCTACCTTAGCTTCCCTGGGTGGGACTTCCTCACGGAGAGGCAGCGCGGATACATCCATCTCGGCCGATACGGAGGCATCTATTAGAGAAATAAAGGTGAGAAGTTCTTGCACCGGGCATAAATTATTACATGCCTTTTAGATTTCCTTCCAGAAAAGAAGCTGGCTTGTCTCCCCCTCCTGGCAGGTCTGACAGAATGGGCTGTATGCTGCCAATGCCAAGCGAACAGCTTTATTGGAGACGGGAAGGTAGCGCGTGTTGCAGGGATACTTGGGTGAAGTCCTACAGCACATGGTAGCAGATCAGGCTGATCGTAACAGGCACATCTCATCCTAACCTGATGAGGGAGGAAAGGGACTCAGTAGAGCACACTGATTGTAGGAGGGTTGAAATAATGCAAGAAGCACTGCACTTACTGATTGATGATTTGGGAAGGGGGGTTTATTTTGTTTAATCTGATTCGTGATTCCACGAAGTTAGAAACATGTAAATAGCAAATAAATACGCAATCCAGTTTTTGTAGTGAGCACAAGTCTGGGTAGTCCACAGCTAAATTGTTATTTGGTTTGGGTTTTTTTTTAATCTGGCTTTTAATGCTCTGCTCAGAAGACATAAAATGGGGACTGATTTCTGTTAATTTCCATGCATAAGGCTTGCAACTCTTCTGAAATTTCAGCTGGTTAAAACATCTGGAATTTGTATTAGGACCTGAGATACTAGCAGGTCTGTCCTGGTTTCAGCATTGTAAAACAGCTGGAAGATGGGCATTTGCTGGGGATCAAGGACAGAAAAAGGAGAGAGACTGTGAAATGGGGCTTACGATTAAATGTAGTGTGATGGATGGTTTTGATCCAGTCTCCCTTCCATCTCCGGTACAGCCTATATTTCAGGCTGGCTTTGGCAGCCCTTGCCATTATTACCAGGATTCCTCCAAGAGGGTGATAATCAAGGAATGGGGTAGAGAAGGGCAGTGTGGCTGGGCATACAGCTGCTGGAGGCTTAGAAGCTGGGTCTGCATCTTGTCCTTAATGTTGAAGATGTTGTTTTTTTCCAGTCAGGAAAAGCATAATTAGCATAAACTTCCAAGCAGGAAATGCCGTTGTCCGGCAAGGCTGCAGGTTGGGATCAGAGCACTTAAAGATTTATTTAAATGAGAACTTTGGACACCTGCTTTTCCCGATCTGCTGTGCTTCTGCCCGTTAGTTTCAGTGGCATCATTCACCTTTCTCACCATTTCCTTCAGGATATCTATGAGTTAAAGGACCAGATTCAGGATGTAGAAGGCAAATACATGCAGGGACTGAAAGAGATGAAGGTACCGGAGTGTGATCATTAACACCAGCTAAACGTTTGGAGAGTCGGTGTGAGACTCCCTCTCTGACCTTGCATGCTCTTCTTCTGGGAGGGGTTGTCAGTTGTGTGAAAAGCATTTCATTAACGGGAAGAGTATCTGTTCTGACCTCCACTGATTGTGGTGAGGAATTGCTTCCACATGTTAACCGAAAGGCTGTTGGTTAATATTGTGTGTTGTCTTTGCTTTTTTGGTGAAGGTACTAATTTTGCTAGCAAATTAAACTTATTAAGGTTTTATTTAATAGTTTCCCAGGACACCTCCCAGTACTGGAAGATGAACTAAATCTTGCATCCTACAGTGCTGTGAAAAATCAGAGTTTAAAAGCTTGTATGTTTTTATTTACATTTTGTTTGGCTAAGGCCCGGCACACCTTTGGGAAGTTACGCCTGTGGGGTAGTGACTGTCGTTTGGTTTCACATTTAGGTCACAGGAGACACCCTTAAACAATTACTGTAATAAAACTTGGCGTAACGAAGCTCGTTACGTGAAGAACGAACACTCAACAGCAGTCGGCACAAAGGAAGGGCTTACTGCTTCCGTGAAGCCGTAAACGAGTTTCGGTGCAACAGCTAACTTGCGTGAACTGCCACCTCGGTAGCGAGCAGCGTGAGCTGCAGTTTTTGGAAAAGGCAGTCTTGCAAATACGTGTGTAGGCACCCAGGCACACGTTGCAACATTTGTCAGCGTTAATTGCTGACGGTGTCATTGGCTCGACACTGTGACAGGTGAAGACGCTGCCATCTTGAGTGAATTTTTAATGGAAAAGGAGTAGTTTGGCCCTTAATCTGTAAAACCTGGTGTTGGTGGGGTTTTTTTTCCTCCCCCTTGGTCACTATGTAGCAGGTGTAGCAAACTAATTATGCTGCATTAAAAAACATAGGTCACTTCGATGCGAGTCCCTTAGACTGCCTTTTGTGGTGATTTGTGCCTGAGCTGCACTGCTCGATGCCAGGAAAACCAGGCACAGCATGCTGAAGGAGCGGTGCGGCAACACCTGATCTTCTCACTTCATATGCTTCCCTCCCAGTGAATCCTCCCACTGTTTCCACATCCTGGCTGCTTTCCTCTCTTGGTAGTTCTCATCCTTGGGCTGGAAAGTGCAGCAAAACACAGTTTGTGTTTGGAACTGTACAAATTTATGTCCTTAAAGGCAGATTCTCTTATTTGTCAATAAAAACGTAAACTAAACTGGTTTGAACTTTGTTGTCATCTCATCAGTTCCACTGCCTGAATGAGGGGGGAAGTATGTGAAACTCACCGGTGCATTAGATGGAATTACTAGAAGTACTAAGTTCCAAGAGAAATTGCTTGATCTGTAAACTAAAATCCTGACATGAATGTCCTCCTTCTTTGCATATTTGCACTGTTTTCCATATGCAACCCTTTTGTCTCTCTATTAAAATCAAACACTGCAAAGTTTGACTGCACAACATGGCAAGCACCATCCTGATCTTTATTTTGCCGTCATCTGTTTTTAGAAATACTTCAGTGTCCTATGTTCAGGTCAAGTTGATAGGAGGGGTTTTGGAGACCCCTGGGAGTTGTATCTTAGAAAGTAAATTTATAAAGAAAGGATGTGATATCGGAAATCTAGTGAAAAATGATACATGAGGTCACAAAAGCTGAAGCTTTTTTGTGGCAGATCCTGAGTGTGGTTGCCACTCTTCGAGGATCCCTGAAATTTGTGTGAAATGGCTGTCAAACTGCCTTTATTTAAGGACTAAGATCATCTAAAATAATCTTAAATCAAGGCTGGTTTGCCTTTAAAAAAAAAAAATCCAACTTGTCATCTTCAGCAGCTGCTTTGAGCTGCCAATGTGCAGGGACAGGGGGAGGAGGAAGGAAGCTCTGAATAGGCAGAAGCTGAAGCAGCAGAGAGGAGGAAACATTAGATTTGTCCTGCGGTAAGGTTTCTTATTTGTAAACAGACGTCTGGTGGGAACAGAGGGAGGTCATCCTCACCTTGGGAGCGTTGGTAAGCCTCTAGCACATCCTGGTTGCCGTGGGAGTGCTCCGCATGCTTGTGGCGGAGTACTTCATCTTCCTGTCAAAGGTCTTGGTTGGCACAGCGTCCTTTAGAGCCGACTCTGAGCGTGACGGTTTGTTCTTTGCAGGACTCTCTAGCCGAAGCTGAAGAGAAATACAAAAAGGCCATGGTGTCAAATGCTCAGCTAGACAACGAAAAAACCAATTTCATGTACCAGGTAGATACGCTGAAGGATGCGCTCTTAGAGTTGGAGGAACAGCTGGCAGAATCCAGACGGCAATACGAAGAGAAAAGTAAAGTATGTATATAGCTGGGGGGGGGCGTTGTTTCACAGGGAACAACTTGGGAAGGGGGCACATGGATGGAGAGACCTCTGGGAGGAGGCAACCCAATTAGTATTCAAGATTTTAAATAAGTTATCCTTGTAATGACTGTTAAAGCAAGCGGAATAGCAGCCTATTATACAGTTGTGATCACGCAAGTGGGAATCTTCCCTAAGTTTCTGTCTTATAAAGTGGTTTCTGAAGGAGTGAAGAAATGTTTTCTGTATGAGGGCTGTATGGGTACTATCACATCTCGTAAATTCAGCAGGTTTGTTCGTCATGACTTCCGGAGTACTTCTACACACAGAGCTCTCTTTGGAAGGCCCGTGGGAGAGTTGTGCAGTTCGTATAGTCAAGGCAGCTCCTGGGTTGAGAGCTGAATTAGTTTTTACATGAATTCAGCATCTGACCGCTGGCGAGTTGGTGTTAAATAATAAAGCGGTGGCTTGTCTTAGCGTTTCAGAACTGCCTCCTCAGCTAGGGGCACTTAACTGTAGTGTACATCAGAATACATTGTTCCAGCGAGATACAGCGTGAGGTTTTTTATATTTAAGTCCACAGTGTCTAGCTGCCTTAGTACACGTCTGTGTGGAAAGGATGGGTTAAAGTCCCATCCGTTCATCTGTGAGGAGTGTAGGACTCGAGTGTAAAAGCTGTTCACTGCCAGCCTGCTGCTCAACTTAGGGAACGGCTGGATGATACCTGTCACTTCCATATTTGATGGAATAATAGTTTCTTGGGAAAAGGACAAATAAGATAAAAACTGTACTCTTGTGGGATTGTGATTAGAGAAATATTCAGGAATTGAACTGCAGTAAGCGTTTTATGGTTGGGCTTATTTTCTCTTTCACGGGCTGCTATTTTTGATCAATAAAAATGTCATGAATATTTCATTATTTATAGGAATTTGAGAGGGAGAAGCATGCTCATAGCATATTGCAGTTTCAGTTCATGGAAATCAAAGAAGCTTTGAAGCAAAGGGAAGAAATGCTTGCGGTAAGTAACCTTTGGGGTTTTTTAAAATGCTGCTTTGATTGGTATGTTCCCAGTTAGCAGCGTAGAAGGTGAGGCCTGGAGGATTTCATTCCCTACTCAAGTTTCTCACCTGAAGGAATACTGGTGTTTTGGGCCAAACAGGTTCTGAGCTGACTAATAGAAATGGTACTTTCAGAGGCATTATCTGAAGTGGGACTTCTTTTATTGCCTTCCTCATAGTATGAAATAAGCTGTGTTTTGGACAGCTGTTTAGAGATGCAGAGAAAGTGGCTGGAACTGTCCAACTTGTTTTAAGTCATCTCGTGGTTGTAAGACTGGAGTCCACACTCCTTAGCTAAACCTACACTCCTGAAATGTCAGAAATGGTGAAACTGTGCTGTAGATACTCTGACTTTTTTCATTCTTTGGCATCACTGCAATCTTAACTTTCTTTGTTAACCTCTTACCTGCTTTCTGTCTTCTTGTTTTGCTCCTGTCTCTCAGGAAATCCAGCAGCTGCAACAGAAACAGCAGAGCTATGTCAGGGAAATTTCTGATCTTCAGGAGACGATAGAGTGGAAAGACAAAAAAATAGGGGTAGGACTGTCAACTCCTGAAATGTGTTCAGAGTGGCACTGTCGTTCTCCAGCTGATCCCGCTTTTGCAAAACCTTGTGAATAAAATCCTCCCCAGTGACTTTGCTTGGCATGGCTGTCTTGCTGTGTTACCAGTGAACTAGCAAATAGCAGATTTTGTCTTTGGCCAGGATTATAAAATCCAAGAAAAACTTAGCAGCTGGTCTGATCTCAGAGCCTAGGGCGATTTCTTTGCTGAGGTGCACCATTTGTATTTGCTGTATTGAGAAAGGAAGTGCTATTTGTAATACAGTTCAATCAGCACAGAATTTTTGCTTATTCACATTTAATCTGCGGGCTGAGCAGAAACTGGAGTGGGATACAGAAGCACTAGAGCTATTTATGGGCTATTGGGATGAAAGTCTCTCTTGCTTCTGATCCCTTCCTATCAAAGCCAAATGGAAAGATGCTCTTAAAGCAAAGCATGGCTTTCTTTTCTAACAACGAGCACTGGAAGAATTTTGGAATATAGAAGGAGAAAGAACTCTGGCAGCTTGCCTGCGCTTGCAGTGTCCAATAATATCAAGCACTTTGAAACTCAATTTTTTTTTATTTTTGTGACTGTTCTGTTTGTGTGTTTAGATAGAAATAGCAGGGGGGTCAGTAGCAAAACATGCATTTGTGCACAGTACATCCCAGTCTAAAGATGAGTTACTGTCAGCTTTCAAACTAATCGAGGTGTACTGCCCCCATGACGGTAGCCCGTGACATAAAAAGACGGTTAGAATCTGCTGCGCCTGCTTTCGTGCCGTCGTGTTAACGCATGGGACCGGCACGGTGTCTCAGTGTGCATTTTGATGCAACGTGGCTGTGAATGAATTTGTCTAGCAGGTAAGAATGAAAAGTGGATCCTCGGTTGAAGGATCCCCAGTGAAGGGCCGGGCTCTGAATGCCTGTAGGAGTTCCTGGTTATTGTGCCAAGCTGTGCCTTTCTTGGATTTGAAGCCTATCTGTGCGTATGTAAACTCGGTCCTTTAAGCTGTAAACTTTACCTTTTTCATACATGCCACTTCCATGAATCTCTGAATATCTGAAATCTACTCATTCTTGTTCACACTTGCTTTTCATGGTCTTTACTTCTCTCCCTTCCTTTCTTCACATCTCCTCGCCCTCTGTCTGTGTTGGGAACTCAGGCGTTAGAGAGGCAGAAAGATTTCTTTGATTCCATAAGGAGTGAGCGGGATGACCTTAGAGATGAAGTGGTTGTGCTGAAGGAGCAACTGAAGGTATGCAAGAGGAATAAAAGAAACTTATGTTCAACTGCTGACTCTTCCCTCCTGTACATTTTTGCAGAGACCTTGAATCTAGCTCCGAAGCAAAAACTCTATTTTCATGTTGCCTCTAAGTTGCTATTTCATGATGTTTCTATATAAAGTCCTTCCCCCTGATACTGACTGCGAGCTCTTTGTATAGAGTATAGGATTAAGTAGTTGTTTTTGTAGGAGACTCTTCTCTGAGGAACGCTTTACGCAGCAGATTTATGCTTAAGGGGAAAAAAAAAGCTGGGATCACGTGCTTGTTGTCATAATGGCTGAACTGAGAGCTGTGATACTCCGTGCTCTTCTCTGACTTCCAGCCATGCTTACTGGAATGAATGAAGCAATTGTTTATTGGGAATGTCGAGGACAAGAACACCTCACCTGTCCTGCCCTTCCTGGGCAGCAGGCTGTAAAGCACTGCTTTTGCTTCTCCACAGAAACATGGAATAATCCCAGACTCTGACGTAGCCACTAACGGGGAGACATCGGACATTCTTGATAACGAAGGACACTTGGATTCTTCCAAAAACGTTACGGGCATGACTCAGGCATTAAAGGCAGGAGGGGATGGGATGCTAGGTAAGTACTGTATGTCCTTTCACACCTGTCTGTCTGTCCATTCATTCATCTTTGCTTGGAGTTTGGGCCTCTGTTAGTGGGACAATTAACACATCACGCAGCATGCTACTTGTTGGATCACCTCCTGTGCATTCTCCTGCTTAATATTTATCGTCACTTCAAGCGTGTTGTGCAGTTTCCTGCAAAGGCAGACCTCATTTCCCACCCTCGGCGACAAAGGACAAGAATACCAATGTTACGTTACAGATAAGTAGCAATCATTCAGATTACTATTTAAACCCTGAATTGGAAAATTGTCCCAGAATAATCCTACTGTTGTTCAATATTTTTCAGCACGTATCTTAAAGAATCAGGAAAAAAGCATTTCAGTTTCCTATAAAGAACTTGTATGTTGGTTCATTTATATCCCTGAGAGCTGGAAGTGTCTGCTGAACAGCAGTGCTGGGCACTGTTAGAACACACCAATTCATTCTTCTTGCTGTCTAGTACTGTTGAGCAGTTCGTATCAACACCTCAACATTTTTACTTGCTGTTAAATCCAAAGCAGATAACTCTGAGATGGGTAGTGCTAGGGAGGAGAAATCTGGTTGGCATCAGCTTTTGTCTTACGCAGTTGTGATGGATGGCCTCTCAGAGAACTATTATACCCGTGGAAGGAGAGGAAAGAGTAGATTTCTCTGGTTTTGTTCTAAGTGAACAGGCTGATGAACAGCAGCTCAGTAGCCAGCTGCTGAGTGCAAGCTGTCTGGCTTTTAGCTGTTGGCTGCTTTTTCCTCACTCAGTTTTTGTATGGAAACAATATGGAACATCAAAACCAAGGTAAGGGTGTATTTTCAAATGTAATGTGTCTTCTCTCTCCTGATTTTGGGTTGGGTTTTTTTAATGGAAATAGGTGGAACACAGACCCAAAAGCTAACTGCTGAAACCATAAACACTATTGTTCTAATACCTGTTGCTTCTGAATATAAGAAAAACTGTTACAGGAAACACAGCACACACACCCCACCCCAAACCACAGAAGCCCCCATCCTTTGGGTGGATGAAGTGGCTGTGAGGGGCACTAAGTGCCTGAGCTTCAGTCTGTGTTTATGTTAAACAGCTGGACCGTTTGCTGCCAATCAGATTTTACATTCGGTGTCCGTCATACACACTGATGATGCCTGTTTATGATATTTAGGAGTAAAATATTACTGAATAGTCCTTGGTTATCGTATTGGTTATCCTTGATTAGCCTCATAATGGCATCAGACACATACTCTTGTATGCATGGAGCAGTGGTAGGGTTAAAGTTGTAGATAATATTGCTGAGAAAAAAATCTTTCTGTTAAATTGCACTGCTTGAAACAGTTGTTCTCATCTACAGAAGCTGTAATTCACGCAGCCAAGAGCATAAATCTCTTACTTTATCAAAACACAAGCCAGCACCAGAGACTTCTTGCTTTGAGAGGGTGGTGGTGGATTTCACTCATTGAAAACCCCAGAGCCTTACTAATTCAATTGCTGCTTTGCCTCACGTAATTGGCAAAAGCTGATCTTTTATTAACCTATCCTTTGATTCATTCTCTTTCGGGTTTTAAGTGGGGAGGTGAGTGCTACAGTGTGGTCCCTTCAACTTTCTCAATGGTCTTTTAGGCAAAGCCAAGGAAGTGGACATGACAAATGAGATTTTGGAGGATGTGGGGAAAAGAGAAATCTTGCAGAATACTGAGCATGTGGAACGCACAGAGGAGTCTGAGGAGCAGGAAGTACAGACATTGCATGCTGATGAAAATGCAAAGGCAGAAAAAATGGTTGAAGAGCACGATGCCCTGTCACCAGTGACGTTACCAGGTAGTAGGTTTACAGGACAAATTCAAAGCCTTATAGAACACGCGTCAGGGAGCGCCTCTTCGAACGATGGTAGTGCCGCAGCTGGCTTGAGAGAGGAGACCGAGCCCGCAGGCACAGCAGTCCAACAGCCTGTTAGTGCGGAGGCTGAACACCATGACTTCGGTGCAGGGACAAATCTGCACTTGGAGAGGGGCTCTCTGCAAGGTCATCAGATTTTTGAGACTCCTCAGGAAATGCCTGCTGAATTCAGTACAGAGCATGAACCGGAAAAACCTGCGCCTGAACGGGAAGAGCGAGACGGTCTGCAAACTAGCCATGGCCTGAGCGACAATGAAGTGGATGAGGAAGCCGACCTGCCCAGTGAGCGCTGTGAGTTGGTTTCCAAGCAGACAGGGCTACCAGAGGTTACAGCAGCAGGCAAGCTTAGTGAAGAGATGGATGGGGAGAGTCCCGCTGAGGAACTCCAGTGCTCAGGAGAAAGTGCAGAGGAGAAGGTTACAGGTGTCTCAGAGGAAGAGCATGTTGAAAGCAAAGACTGCACCGATGCAAGAATTGGTAAAACAGGGGGCGATAGCGCTGAAGAAGACAGTGAGGTTGGGAACGCAGGTCAGGGGAAGGAAACAGAGTCTGTGGGTTTGGAGGGAACAGAGTTGTGTGAAAGTAGGGTCCCAGAAGGTATAAGTGACAGGGAAGGTGAGGGAGATCAGGCACACATCCAACCAGCTTCTTCAGAGGACAGTCCTTCAGCATCGTCAGAGGAACAAAATACACAAGGTAAAAGCGAACCTGCTACGGCTGAGGAGGATGGACAGAAGGAAGTATTCACAGGAGAGTTGGAGAAGTGTGTAGCTGCTGCAGAGGAGGCATCTGTGGAGGCTGTAGGCTCTGATACTGAGGTCAGAGGAAGTGTGATGCAGCAGGTAGAGCCAGGCACAGATGTTGTGAAAGAGGTGATGACTCGGGAAACCAGTTTAGACCAAAGTGTTTTAGAGGACAAAATTAAGGAGTCAGAATTAGAAACAGGCGATGTGGCTGGGAAAGAGAAGGAAGGTAGGACAGAATGGGTAGAAGATTTAAAACCAAAGGTAGGAGTTCAAACAGTTCTGTTCAGTGAAGAAACACCAGGTGACACAGTGGGAGAGAAGATTATCCCTTTAGAAGGGGAAGCACAGAATGTAGTTAAACAAGAGGAGGGTGAATCTAAAGAGGAGCCAGCTGTAGGTGTTAGTGTAACTGCTGAAACCAAAGTTGATAAAGAAACACGGAAAGAAAATGAGGAAGAGTTAGATCTTGGTGGTGGATTTGCTTCTGAGGAAGGTGCAAATAATTCCCTAGCACAGGCAGCTGAGCAGGATGAAAATGTTAGTGAACAAGTTAAATTGGAGGGTCGAGCAGAGGAAAGACTGGAAGATGATGGTGATGCGTTTGATTTTGATGAGGAGTCAAAACAGATACTAGAAACTGATGAAAAATGTGATGAAGAAGAAGCTGGTACACAGAAAGGAGAAGGTGATGGAGCAAATGATGCTGTCAGAAAAACTGCCCAAGCAGACATAGCTGAAGGAAAATCAGACCAAACAGAAACCAAAGGTGCCTTGACTGAAGATGTCAGCTTGCAGTGTGAAACAGGAGATGAGCCTGAAGACACAGGGCGCTTGCAAGGGGAAACGGCATGGAAAACTGATGAGAAGGCTGATCTGATGGAAGATAAAATCAAAGCATCAGATTCCAGTGAAGTGGACAAAATACCAGATGAGAATGTTTCGGAACAGGATTTGGAAAGTGCTGACAGTAGCAGGGATGACAGCAAGGAGGATTTGCAGGGTGGTAGGAGGAGTAAGGGTAAATCCAGAGATGACTGTACAGTAGCCTGAGTTCAGAATCTCGACGACGCGAGTTACGTGCCAGTTGGTCAGTCCCGGCGCAGAAGCACTTCACACAATGCATCAGACCTTAGGAATACTCTTCAGGTTTTTAATTTATAGGTAACTCTCATCATAACATTGTATTATGCAGGTGGTAATGATGCAAGTATGAAGTTATTGACGTACCAGCCACAAGAAATTGTGCGTGGGTTTGCTTTTGCTGTGTCTCAGGTTAAAGTTTATCACCGAAAGAGGAATCTTCACAAGTCACCCATGCAGTCTGTCTTGCAATTAAAGTACTTTAGTGTGGATAACGACTACTGGGGCATTTCTAGATGATTTTTTTTTTTCCCCTAGCCTAGATGGTAGATGTCTTGAATATGTGTACTTAGATCTACAGTAAGTACGTAGACACTCCATGAAGGAACTCAGTAGATAGGCAACACTGACCTGATGTTGAAACTTCTTCCTGAGTGATTAAAGCCTAGGAACCAATTTGTTTTTTCACTATGGAAAAAAAGATACTCACATTCCACTTTCCATTTCTAACACGGTCACATTCCAAAATACAGTGACATGGCTGCGAATCTGCTTAGTCGCAACGCTTTGGAAGAAGAGTGTGCGGTTTGAAGGAAGCACAACACACAAGTCAGTTTGCTGAAAGGAGTAGATACCTACGTGTTTACTTCACCTTGGCACTTTGCACCGCGATGGGCCTTGTACACCATGTCTCACATGGGTTTGGTTATTTTTTTTCCCTAAAGAAAGTGTCCGTGCACACTGTAATGTGTGCTTAGGTTTGCTATCCAGCACTGCCTAGCTATGAATGTGTAAAATACCTATTTTTCCAAGAAGATTCTTGTTTAAAGCTGCATTTTCTTACTGCATTATATTTTTTTGCAAACTATGATTCTGAAGGAATGTGTTTATCTCTGAAAAATACTTTTCCTTTCTGGAAAGAAGATAACTTTGCATGTCTTAATTCCTGTTGGATATCTGACCAAAGACGATTGTTCTGTATACTAGTCCCTGTGCCTTTTTGAAAAGCTGGATTGCTTTGAATTGCTGACACTTGGACTCCACTGCTGTATTTCTTCTTGCCTCTTTGCTAGCATTTGGGAGGAGGAGTGTGTTTTGCATAATTAAAACTTCATTTAAAGTTGTTTTAAGCAGGTTGAGGAGTTGGGTTGGGGAGGGGGCAGGGGGCTGTGGAAGGCTGTATTTGTGGTGGTGTTACAAAGTTGACGGAGTACAAACGGAGTGCAAAACCTAAAGATGTATATCAAAATGTACTGAGCTGTATATAATTGAAATAAACATGGTTTATATTTTAAATTGCCTGTCCAGACCACTGTTTATAAACCTGCATAAATGTTTATTTAAATTATATTTTCAAAACCCTTTTCTGCAGCTTTCTTTAAGTTTCTTTAAGTTGTGCTGTGCAGCTAGAAGAGGTGTCTTACCAGGGATGGGCAGCTTTGGTGTTTGAGGACCTTTTAATACCGGATGGCACCCATCACAGTAAACCTGTACCAGGACTCTAAACCTGTAGTTTATGGCTTCTTTCCAACTTACAGCAGTTCCAGTATGGTTTCAGAGTATTAGCTGGTGTTCTTTTTGAGGTTGTACACTAAATGCTAATACAAAAGTATCTTTTCTTACTGTGTAGCCACACTTATTTTGAGTTTTGTCTCTGCTATACTTGCTACTGTAATTTGGTTTAGTGTTGAAGGTACTTTAAATGTATTTATACTGAAATGTTAAATACACTTAAATATATGATTAAATGTGCTTGCCAGCTTCACCTATACTTGTGGATGGGTCTATACGTGACTTGGAGTTAAGTTAGGCACATGCCAGCTTTTCCTGTATTTTTCGTACGAGTTTTTCTAATAGAGATCCTGACTGGTTGAGGGAATTAACAGGGAGCTGTTCTAAACTGGCTTTTCTGCTCAGAAAGCAAAGCACCTGTAAGAGAAGTCCTTTTTAAAGCCAAGTCACAGAAGGAGAAGTAACGGCAACTCTAGTCTTAACTGTCCACATACCCCTTCTATCCCACCGTGACTGGCCAGCTCTCAGCGAAACTTGGGTAGGGGCAGGGACGTGGACAGGCAGTGGGGAACAGCTGACATACGGTAGATCCACTTTCGAACGCGACCTCTGTTGGCAGTTGGTCCCTGACTTCTGGAATGGGGCAAGTACATGGAGGAGGAGGTCATGCTGTGCTTCACCTCTGGTGTTTCCATTAGTATGTGCACACCGAGGGATAAATTGTCCTGAGGATACAGGGGTCTGCTAGATGTTATATATATTCCAAATCTAATGATTTAAATAATATATGTGAGCTAGCATTTGGGTGAAATGTGTGCCATGAGAGGGGGAGGGGACAGTGTCTCAGGAGGAATTCCCTAGGAAACGCATCTTTACAGAAAAGTTACACAATTGGAAAGCGTTTTGGGCATTCGCCCTGCGATATCTCACTGATACAAGAGAAAATCTACCTTGTCCCTTTCATTGGTTTTGACTTTCAAAATATGAAAATCAGTCGTTTCTTGAAGTCTAACCTGAAACCAGGAAATCATGGCATGAACTAACATCAAGGTTCGTGTTTGCTGCTTTGTCATGCACTTTGTTTGGACCAGGGACAGGCTGCTGCTCTGTGCTGCAGTGAGAGTCGCTGTCCGTGTAAGACACCTGTCTTTTCAGAATAGCTCCATAGCTCCACATTTTCTGGGTTTTCTGTTCAATACTGGTGGCACATGTAGCCTGGGTTTGTGCATTACTGCGAATTCACAGCCAGCCTGAAATGCTTTCAAAAGCAATAGCTGAAGAAACATTTTTTTTCCTTATTCAGCCAGTAATAGTGAAAGGCCTTGATCAATATTTCCTTTGTTACGGAAAAGAACAGTCCTCCTGTCCCCCTCAACGTCTATTGCAAGCTGGTGTCTTCTAAATCCTGTGCTTATTCACTGTCCCAACAGCCTGCCCCCAGCAGTGTCCCTCAGCTGAGAAGGAGCGGAAGGCATTTCTTGATACTTCTTGTTCTTCTTGTTGTTTCCTTGTGATCCAAAATAAACCAGCAGATCTGGACAAAGGAGAATTATCCAACCTGCTGTTCATCTGACAGTGGGATTCTGGTCTGAATGGCTGCTGGTGAGATTTCATGGGATGTCTTCCCACCCTCCAAGTACGGTTCTACGCCTTTCATTTGCATCAGCATTAATTACTTGCTGGCCCACATGTCATGCAAATCGTTCGGGTTAAAACCAGCTTCTTCCCACCCCACACTTCCCTCCGAGTAGGAAGAGGCATGAAGGATCTGTAGTGCATTAGGTCAGCTGTGCCACTGAAGCAGCACCCTAGTTAGCAACCCCAAGGCAAGGAGAACAGTTATTTGCCTTACCAACAGGCCTGTACAGCAGCAGAAGACACCGGTACCCATTGCCACCCTGTCTGCCCTCTTTCCCAAACCTTCCCAGGGCCAGCTCCTCGCATCGGCCCCGTTAAGCTCTTTTGCATATGTCAGCTGTGAACTGGTGCAGGGAGTAGTCTGGGAACCACGTGGCTGAAGTTAAATTTAAGTGAGATGAACATCCCACTCTTAATTATCCCTTGTAGTATCTTTGTATGTGAAATAAGGAGAGTGACTTTACAGGTAGGAATTGTAATTAGCCACCTTGTGCTAATTCAGTAGATTGCTCTTTTCTGCTCCTAGTTTTAGAGATCCTTGGATCCTTGATTTGTTGGAAAAATGTCTCCTAAATGCAAAAATAAGGTGGTTCTGCAGTGGTATCTGTTCAAGCTAAAGCAAGTTTTCTGTATTACTGAGGGGTTTAAGATAAGTGGAACCTAAGAGACCTTCATCCATACGTGCAGAAAACTTTTCTACGTGTGTGGCCATTTCAGCAAACTGATTTTTCCTGTGGTCTTGTAAACCCTGCTGCCAGCCTGTCATCTCTCCCGGCGGGATGCGGAGGCCTCCGTATTGAGGGAAGAGAGAACCGATGGCAAGATCGGGTTTGAAGGTTCGTCCCAAAATGCTAACATCTGTTTTGCAGGGAAAGGGGTTGGGGGAAGCTGATGTGCTTCCCCACTGGAAACTGGAGGCGTATTTCACCCTGCAGCCATGGTTGGGGTGATGAAAGTTCCTTAGCTGTGTGCGTTAACAAGTTCCTTTCGGTGGTCTGTTTTGACCCCTTTGGAGTCAGTAAGTTGAGGCTAATTTTGTAGTGTCCTGGAGGTTTCCTTCTGCCTCAGTCCTTGTTCTCTTAGTAACCTCATCTCTTGATCTCTGCTGACCTGTCCCAACCCGATCTCCAAGTCTGAATATCTCCGACTTCTCTTCTCCTGTTTGCTCTCCTTGCTTTCTTCAGTGCCCTTTATTTTTCATCCCTTTCTTTCATCTTTTACAGAGTTCCTGTCTTAAGCTTCCTTTCCTTCCCATATAGATACACAAAACTTTTATTGTTTTTACAAGCATAAAATTTATACTTGTAAATTTATGTTACTCTTGATAGTTCAAAAAAATGTGGCTTGTTTGTTGTTTTTCTTTTGGTTTTTTTCCATGTCAGTGCTCAGGTATAACAATGTTGAGTGTGTTACAAATGGCTAAAAAAGAAAGGGCTAGGACTGGAGGAGGTTCAGAATGAATGCATAGAACTGCTGAACGGGGATGTCACTTTACGATCTTTATTTGGGCATTGCATCGGAAGCCAAGGTAAAGGTTTTATTCCGTGCTCTAGAATGACTGCTGTTACATGGGAACTTGCATACCCCAGGGGGAAATGACGTACCACATTATTACTGACTAATGGACTGTAGTGTCTGCCGCGTAGAGGGACTTTGGTTTGAAAACTTGGGTTTTCCCCATGATTTGATTCAATTCAGCCAATTTATTCCTTTTGTGTGCTAACAAGACAAATGGTGAAGCACAAGACTTTGACCTGCTCAGGATCTGACAATGAATGAGGAGTACAGTGTGGATATTTGTAAAGGTTACCTGGTAAAAACCCACCAGCCCGTTACCTGCAATTTGACAATTGCTTTTCTTATGTTTACAACAAGACCTTTTTCTGGAGTGACTTTTTGGCATTTAACCATTTAATTAACAGGCCAGACCTTAGATATGGAGTTGAGCTCTGAACTGGCTTGGTTCCGCACAGGTTTGATGGCAAGGGAGGCAAGCTCAACGAAACTGCAGTAAATGTACATGTCAGACTTGCAGAGCAAGACCTGCCTGAGGCCAGCGTGTCCTCTTCTAATAAGTGTTTGAATACTGTGTTCTGGTGTACCTGAACAAACTAAGGTTGTTAATTAATGAGGTAAAGTCATTTTAGTGAAATGAAGATGTGTCAGAACCTGGTTCAACGCTGTCACATTTTGCATCCCTTAATAGGGAAGAAAAATCCCAGGTGATTTGGCTACTTCCTTCCATTTCTGTGTTGTCTCGCCCCATAGCGTGCGCTTTGTTCATCGATGCTGCACTTATCTATGTGCTGAAGGGTAGCGCTTCCAAGTTCAAGGGTAGCACAGCCGTCGTTGGTCCAGATTGCCCAGCCCCTGCTTGGTGTTTGACCAGGAGAACTGACTAGGAAGGTTTAAAGAGAAAAAAAAAAGTTTTACCAGACTACTGTGTTTGAAACAAAAGCAATGTTCACAGGCAAATGTTTTTTCTGGAGATCACACAAGATGTTATTGCCATGCTGCTTAGTAGAAGAAGTGAAGATTTAAAGAATGTGCATAGCTATGATTATAGGTGTTTACAGTATTTTCCTGATGTTAAACTGTAAAGATTTGTGAGATTTTGTGTTGCAGTTGTGTTTGACCCTAGAGTTCTTGCATGCTAACCTAACGTAGAAGATTAGCCTCTTTGCATGCAGCTGGGTGCTGCTACTGCCGTGACAAGCATGCTCTGTGAGAATGACATAACCTCCCCCGGCTGCAGCCCCTTCCCAGCCCTGTCTGTGGCCTCCTGTCCTGTGGTACGTGCATAACTACCTTCATCATAGTTTCACTAACCGTAACGGTTCGGTCTCGTACCAGCTGCACCCTGAAACGCGGGGCTCCATGGAATTGGCACTGAACTTTCAGTTTTCTCTTTCAGACAGGCTGAAAAAACTCATTGATGAACGAGAGTCCTTACTAGACCAGGTAATCACAGGAAAACTGAAATGCTGCGTGTGTACTAAATCTGTGGTGAGACTCGTAGAGATTTAAAAAGCCAAAATAGCCCTAACGTGAGGTACAGAACGGCGGTGCCATTGCCATTCGGAACGTGTGCTGGGTTGCTCTTGCTGAGGCCTCACAGCATCGCCTGCCACTTCATTCTTCCTCTGGAATATTTCTCCTGCGTGTTAACTTGGGATACAGGGGAAGAAAGATATGTCCCAGTGTGCCCGTTCCCTGTTGCTAACCAGTCACGTTCAGTGTCCTTAGTCACTGAAAGCTCCTTCTCCAGGACTGGTTCTGAAAAATAATACTTCAGATTGGCCAAGCCCAAGGGAAAAACAAATATGGACCAGAAATGGTGGAAGCAAATTTTATCTCCGAGAGCAATCCTTCCCGATTGGCAACGGGCCATTCGGAAAGAAACGCTGGCGGAGTTGGAGTAGATGAGTAAATAGCAATTAAAGTCATTGTTGGCGGTACCGTGACGTTCTGTAGCAGATACAAAGCCTATTGAAAGAATGTTAGCTGATGTGTTTCTCTGCAGGAGGCTCCGTGTCTTCATTTATGGACAAATCCGTGGCCTTGAGACGTCACACAGCACCAAACACAGTTTTGGGTTCGCAAGAACGTTTTACGTGAATGTGCCCACAGGACATTCATTGTTTTTCTAAGAAAACTGTTGTCTTCCACTCGTATGTTTGGTCCTGAACTTACGCAGAAGCGCTGATACATAGCCTTTGTCACGAGTTACTTGCCAAAAGAATTTCTAGGAAAATTACTTTGTAACCAAAGATTTTTTCTTAAATTTAGTTTTTAAAAGTGTAATTTGTTCTATAATACTTTAGTGAATTTGAGTATTGCACCACAGTTCTCCCTTACCGATTTTAATAACGAACTATTTCTGTGTCTTTCAGATTAAACGATTAAAAGGACAACTGGAAGAAAAGCAAAAGAATGGCAAAGTGGAAAATACACAGTCAGAAGACGAAGTTCTAGAAAATGGGACAGATATGCACATGATTGACCTCCAAAGTGAGCTACATTTTGATTTTAAGAGGACTTGTGTGTCCTGTGTGTGAGCAAGACGATTCACCTGTACAATAACCCCGTGGCTCTGAGTAAAACCGGGCCTTTGGTTGTAAGGGAGCTTCAGAGTGGGAGGGAGCCCTGCACCCCTGCCGGGGCTGAGGGCACAGTTAGCCTTGGTTTGAACGAGATTGCAGTTGGAAATCTCCCTTAGGGTTTCCCCTGAGAGCTGGGCTCCAGTTCCTGGTTAATTCTCCTGTCAGAGTGCTCAAAAGGGAGTCGGGCAAGACTGGGAGTAGCTCCTGCCTGCTGGGCACAGGGTGAGGCTAGCTGCCTGCTCTGATGTAGCAGGAAACTCTTTTGGCAGATGGCATTTGCCACGCCGCTGCCGCCCCAAGTAGATTCCTGTAGCGTGGGAATGTTAACGACAGACTTGTTAGAAGACACTGTTGACGCGTGTTCTGACCCCTCTGATAAATCTGCACTTTCAGGGGATGCCAACAGACAGATCAGTGATCTCAAATTTAAACTAGCAAAATCTGAGCAAGAGATAACAGCGTTGGAGCAGAATGTAAGTTTCTGGCTTGTTCTGTTGGTTGAGGCATGGGGAGGATGCGAAGAGAAGTTGTATTTTATTATATGATAAATGGAATTGCGATTACTGTGATTTTTCCCTTAAAATAAGAAGCAGGAGTGTTGGAGCATCAGGGCTACTGCACTGAAGTGATAAAGACTAAAATGCTTTCATGAGCGTGCAGGAAGAGGGACTGTTACACATCTTCACTGCAGGACAGGCGTTCAGAGGTACACCGAGAGCGCCTACCGAACTCTTCACAATGCTCTCCGATGCCTAGCTGTCGACACTTTCTACATGGCTACACATGGATTTTGTTCAAGACTTCAGTTTTGACCGTTGGCCAGAGCATGTCAGCAGTACCCTTGCTGAGATAAAGCTGGTCAATGGACTGTATGTGTTTTTGTTGCTGAAAGCATGTTAAATATGGATGTGTGTAAAATGCCTGGAGTAAGTTACTGTGGCCAGGCTTCCTTGCTATGTTTATTTTGTCTCCAAATATGCCTGTTTTTTTAATTATTAAAGAAAAGTGATCATCTCTCTGGTTATTGCTTAACTACTACTTAAAGAGTAAAGCCGCAGAGTAACTTCCAGGTACAGCTTTTAATTCAGAACATTTGCCTTCCCCTCAGGTAATACGGTTGGAAGGTCAGGTAGCCCGATACAAAACTGCTGCTGAAAACGCTGAGAGAGTTGAAGATGAACTGAAAGCAGAGAAACGCAAACTACAGAGAGAGGTAACCAAATGCAGACTGTCAGAGGCTGGCAGTCGGCCTGCACTGCGTGGGGGGGGGGCTCGTTCTGACTGGGGCGTTTCAGAGGATGAACTACCATTCTTGGTACAGCAAACAATAAGCATTTCCTTTTTTAACTGTTTTTTTAGTTATTTGTCCCCAATGCATTACAAATTCCGGGTTTGTAGATACAAATCACTGTTCGTTTTAGAACATGTGATTCAGAAACCACAGCAATAGAAAGCTGGAAATCCCACTGTCAGGGTAATTTGGGCACCCCGTTACTTAAGCGTGGTGCTACACCTTACCAAAACCTTTCAAATTTCTGAGTCTGAACCAGAGTGCCAAAGGGATGCGAATCATTCTTACTGAGCCTCTTTTTCCTTGCTCTGTCAGTCTCCTAATGCCTGTTTGCTGCAGCGTGTCTGTCTGCAGACTCTGCCCGTGTTTCTCTTAAAACACTCACTGAAAACATCTTCAAGCTGCCTGTAATTTTGACCTTATTTGCCTTGCCAAACCTCTCGTTTTCCCCCGAGTAGCTGATACAACCAGCTTAAATACATTTGTCAGCTGCTTTCCCACCTGCCTCCTGTGTTTTTGTTCAGTGTGGCTCTCTGCTTTCTCTAAATACTCCTCCTGCTCTGCTGCCTATAAATGTTGCTGCGTGCAGCCCACCTCTCTCTCCCTACCCCCATCCCCTGGAGGGTTTTGTAGCAAACCAAGGCAGCGTGTAGTTCCAGGAACCAGAGCCAGGCAGTGGGACAGGTGTATGTCACCCAGCAGATCTCTCTGAGCATCCATGTCTCTGGAGTCCAGGCAAACCCTGAGCCATTTGTTCAGCATTCTGTAAATACCTTGGATGCTTGGCATGGTGCTCAGAAAACATCTGTGCCTGTGGCCTTCAAAGCAGTTACTCAACACTTACTGTTAACTCTGCTACTAGGAGTTTCCAGCTGCTTTACCTTGTAAGGAAATTCCAGCAACGTGCTGGGAACTACAAACCTCGCTTTGTCTTTGGGAAGGGAAAACACTGCCAAAGTTATGGGGTGTCTTTCTGCTTCCTTCCTTCAGCTTCGTTCTGCACTGGATAAAACCGAAGAGCTTGAAGTCAGCAATGGTCATCTAGTAAAACGCCTGGAGAAGATGAAAGCCAACCGGAGTGCTTTACTCTCTCAGCAATAACCTCCCCCTTCCAACGGAAGCTGCTGCTGCTCGACAGAATCAGAACAGTGTTGCAGGTGCTTCTGTCTCTTCCCCTCCGGGATGCTTTGTGTCATGCCTTCTGAGAACAGACAACCCCAACATTTGCTACGTGCCACCCAGCTGTGGTTCTCTCCACGCGGATTCCAACCTACTGCACTATAGACCTAGGAGTCGCTGATCCAAACGGCTGTGCCTGCGGGGGTCCATGCTGTACCGTTCCGTGGGTGCCGTCGGGGTACGGCGTCCGCCTGCCACGCAGGCAGCGCGTCGGGCGTCGCGTGGAGTTCTCCGTCCGGCAGGCACAGCAGCCATTTACTGCCATTTAAAATGGCATTCCAAGAAAACACTAACTGGACTGGAATTTTGTGTCTTGCTGAAAATTTCAAAGAAAACACTAGGTTTTGGACTTTCTCATGACAGTATCTGTAATTTAGTGACTACGGTAGAGTTATTCATAGTAGGTTTTTCATTTACAAATCACTGTGGAACCACAAGCCATTACGAAGCAAAACTCCTTCAGTGGAAACCATGGAAGAAGACGGTCTCGGAAGCAAAAGTGACCTTAAATGACTTTGCCAATAAAACAAAGGTGTTAGGAGGGATTTTTGCACCAGTTGAATCATAAGACTATTTTATTTCAGGGTAAATAGGCAATAGCTTCATTGAATTTTCAAATTTTATTTGTATTATTTAATCCCTGCCTTTGGAATTGAAGTAAACTACTTTTAAAGGACATAAAGTTGCATTAATAAACCAGCATCAGGCCGTGTTTTAAGAAATGGTGGGGTTTGCACTTAGATCGCTCGCTTCGGTGCATCTGTCCAAGCAAGTGTCGTTTGCTTCAAGTACGTGGTGGGTTTTTTACATCAGAAACTCTCTGCTGGTCCGCGAACCTCTGGGAAACTACGCCGCTACAACATCTGGTCTTTAGAAAGAGTAACTGATGAGTAAAGCAGCACTTTAGAGAACATTACTGCCTGTGGTTTTTCTACACGTACAGAAGTGGCAAGTTACTTCCTTCGAAGGTCGTTGTAAAGGTTTTCCACTGTTCCCAAAAGCCAGCCAGGTCGAGTGCTGCGGGCAGTTTATTACACACAGCTAGCGCTACAGCTCTGGCTTACGGGAAATTGTTTGGAATGTACTACTCAAAGCAGAACAAGCAGTTAGCTGGAGACGAAAGCTGTCCTTCCCCCTTCAGCCCTGCCAGAAACGCGAGTAGAGCAGGCGGCCCGTCCCGGGGGAATCTGCTGGCGTCTCCTGTTCGACAGGAGCAGCCTTCTGTCCCTGCGGACTGCCTCCGTAGATCCCGTCTGCCAAGCCAAATCCGGACCCAGGAGACCATTTCTTCTTGACTTGGTCTTCAGGCTTTTCCGGTCCAGACCTTTCCCCAGCCTCGTCCTTGCAGGCTGGAGGTTAGAGTATAAACCGCTGCTATTTTCAATGTTAAGGAGACCGCCGCTCTCTTCCTAGAGCACCTTCACACGTTAAGTAAACCAAAAACAGTGTCTGAATGTGTTTCTCTGGTTTGGCTAGAAAGTAACACCTTTCTTTCCATCTCTTCTGAGTGCACCTGGAAATTTAAGAATGTACTGAAATTCACAGTCTAGGAAAAGGATGAAGAAGGTGTTTTTTTTGTTGTTGTTGGTTCTTTTGTGCCCCTGGGGAAAAGCAGCATGTCCTTGATGATGGGATGTGGTGAAGCACGGGGATTAAAGGGATCTTTTAAAAGAAATTTCCACTACAGCTAGGGCTTTGGGTTCTTTTTCTCCTTTCTTTGGTTTGGGTTTTTTTGGGGTTTTGGTTGGTTTTTTTTTTTGAGAGGAACATTCAGGTGCAGACCCAGGTTTCTTGTGGAATACCTCAAAAAAGCTGTGGATACCAATTTACAATTTTCAGTGGTCGACTTGGGTAATTTCTGGTGTACAAAACCTCTGGGGCCTAAAAAAATAAACTAAGGATTATTTCAGAACGCTAATAAATGTCCTAAATACATCATCTTACTAAGTGATGATGAGGTGTGTGATTGCCACTGGTCATCTCTGCGTTAGTGGTGAGAGCTGTCTCTCCTGGCAAGATTCAGGAGAGACAACCTAGCAACTGTGGGTTGGTCCAAAAGGCTCAAATTAATACTTTGCTCATCAGGAAATTATGTGTTTTATTATTTCGAAGTAGATTGCATCTCGCACCCCATAACCATTGACCTCATGATGGAACTCAGATGTGTATTTCAACCTGGATATGCTCTTAGTAGAAATCTGTGTGTGTGATAAAGTAGCTGAACGTTGAAGCCGCATCCCCCCTCCAACTTTCAGTACGAGTTAGCTTTAGAATAAGGGAAGAAAAAGTATCGGTTGGTTTCCTGCAAACTTGTTTTTTCCTGTGAAGAATGTACAACAACAGGGCTTTGAATGGTAATTATAGCACATGCCCCGGTCCTTTTAATTGATCTCCGAAGGGGAGAGCCTTGGTACCCAGCCCGCTGACTCAGCGCGCAGCCGAGGGGGCGGCAGCCAGGCGAGGAACAGCTCTAGGATGGGTTTTCCTAGAACTTGTATTTAAAATTGCTATCCTTTGTTTTATTTTTAAATGTTAAATAATTTTATTGTTTGCGAATGGAATGTTACCCGAATTGTTTTGTTTTTTTTAAAAGCAAACCCGTGAGGAGATCGAAGCGTGGAAAAGCAAATTCATGAACAAAACTCGCCAATAAAAATGTCACATGTTAGGGTAGTTTTGATGGAGTGGTCTGTCACAATGATGCTACTGGTAACAGTTCTCTTGGAAAATACAGACTTTTGGGATGATACAGGTGTAAGAGGTTCATTTTCCTTTTTATGGTATGACTGCAGGCGCGCGGACGTGAGCGACACCTGTCACGCAGCGTACCCAGGGAGGGGCCGCGGTGATTCCGGCGCGACACGCTCCCAGATGCCAACATTCCAAGTGGCAGGGTGCACCTGGGGAGGGAGGGGGGGGACAGATGGGAAACTGCCCCATCAGGAGACGTTGGAATGATACTGCTAATTGGGTTTGTTCTCCGCTTAGAGCATTTAGGGAATGTAGAGGTTACTATGAATCCTCCTAGAATCCTCCACACCGGGAGGCAACTTGGTTCATCAAAACCCTGTCAATTTTGGTATTAAATTTCATCTTGCTGGCCACGGGCATTGCCACAGAGACACGGCTCACGTGAAATACACCGAGGAGGGCCTTAGTGCGGGCCTCTGCTTCAGGGCTGTAACGCTTCCGTGGCCTTGAGGGTTACAGTGTGTTTTCAGCAGCTGAGTGGTGTTTTGCACACCTCATTACGTGTTGAAAAGAAGGAGTGGGGCCCAGAACCAGCCTTGTCAAACCAGCGGGTAGGTTTACAGGTACCTTACTGGTACCTTGCTGCGTTCATCTCTCCCTGCTCCTTCAAGGCTTCCAGCTGCCGGGAGTTAGTTAACATCCAGCTGGTGGCTGTGAACGGCCCCAGAGGGCAGGCGGCTGTGCCCGGCCCTGGGAGAAGGCCGCGCGCGC